AGAAATATGTTACGTGCAAAAACCATAATATAGACTACACAGAAAGGTGTCCAGAGGAAAACATAGATTCGATAAAATCATATTTATTTTATAAAAATCTTTTATCCACATTTTTTTCCCGTGTGCAACATCGTGCACAATAATTCTGGATTTCTGAGCCTAGCGCATTTCTCAATAAAAATAGAGAATCGTAGGATTATAATTTCAGTACTACTAAAAAAGAGTACAAATAATAGATAATCACATAATAATTACCCCAGCATCCTTGTCACACATTGGACGCAAAAAAGGAGGAGGTATTGTTAGTTCTACGTTTTCTTATGCACATTTATCCTGACAATGATGGGGAAATAGGCATTACCAGCGCACTGCCCCATGACAAAAACACACACTATGACAGTTAGGCTCATTATTATCTTTCCCGCAGTTTATCTCTTTACCCGTTTCTCTCAAGAAGCTCGCTCTTGCTGCTTTCCTCTTCACAGAGGGTATATGAAAGCAGGTTGCACAATCAACAGTCACACTTTATGATAGAGTGGAAACACTGCAAGGAAAACAAAAAAAAAAAGCCAATAACTTAAAAAATAAAAATCCAATAGAAAAAACCAACAGAGAGGGAGTAAAGGTCATTTATAAAATATACACATGCTTAAACAAATGAAACATATTCTGTTATTTGAGTTGTTGTTTCACCTTCACATTTTCTTTATGCACAATATGTTTATCGGTTGCCATTCAAGAAAACATCTCCATCACCGTAAATATTGTTCTCTGCCGCAGAGTACACGGATACATTTGCAGATTCAATATCTTCCATTGGCATGGGGTGTGATGGAACCATGGACATACCCCTGTCATGAAAACCCATGTCATCAACATTACCATCATAATCAATGATTTCACGTGCACGTAGTGGTTCATTGCTGATATCTCTAATGACCATTGGATGCAAGTACTTCTCTTCATCACGGCCACCAAGACAACAACAGAGTACAATCAGTGCAATGATAGCCGCCAGCACAACCACAGCAATGATCAGAGGGACATACCAATGCTTCTGGATCCATGTTGTCTTTGATTCTGTTGGTGGGAATGAGCTATTTCCGACCAGACCATCTTGAACTTCACAGACAGACGCAAAGCTGTTTGGAGGTGTGTCGGGATTGAATTTTGCCCAACTGTCGCCATCATACCACAGTGCTCTTGATCCCACATGTACGACGAATCGAGAAATGAGGTAAGGCTGACCACGTCCAGGGTAGTTGTTCTCCCAGAACGGTGTGTACCCATTCATTGGTCCTGCACCAGCAACACTATAATACGAGCCACGGTAAAATGGAACACCGTGGCCGTCATATGATCCCGGTGCAAATTCCCCGATGTTCCATTGATAGATACAATTAAGTGAAGCGACACCTTTAACCCCTACTTTGCATTTTTTGGTAGGGTCTATCTCCCAGATAACATTGTACGATGCATCCCCACCCATGAATGTATGTGAGGCAACCTGGGAACCTTCGAACGCCTTCCTCAGCTCTGTAGTAATGGCATCTTGTGCAGCAGCCGACTGACCGGACACAAGAGATCCACCATTCGCACTACAAAGTTTGGCGGAAGTAACGGAACTAACCTCCCCACCAGGAAAACTTGTGAACTTACTGTTGGGAAGTGTGAAATACCGCACAATGTTAACTTGAACACTTCCCTCCGCCTCTGCTGTGAACTGCGGGTGGTGGCCCAGGTGCTGCAGAAGCATACAGAGCGACACCCACAGCACCGCGGTGCGGACAGCAGCAGCTGTTCTGACGTGAACACCATCAGTCATTGCTTGAGTCTTAATATCGGGAACTTATCACTAACACAGAGAGAGAAGGGAAAAATAAGAAACATGTTACGACGTTGTGTAAATAATGAACACCACCACCACCGTCATCAACAATAACAAGAGACTTCTGTCCAGAGGGACGTAAATGCCTTCCAAATAGAGAAACCAAACCAATCACCATTGCAGTTTTCCACCCCATCTCCACCCCCTTTGTTTAAATAGATTCCTTGAGGGGTTGATGTACACATGAAAAAACTAAAACACATTCACAGAGATAATGTTATCCATTGCTGTTATTTGAAAGGTATGAAACAACAAAAACAAAAATAAAAAACAATGGCACCACTCGAAATGATGCTGAGCAGTTACCAACCAATGTTCCCCTCATTATTTATTTTGTTCTTCTTACGCCCTCCCTCACAGTAATGAGGTGGGGGAGAATAAGTAGAAAATATGAGCCGACTACTAAGAATCGAGTGGAATTAGCAAACATGCAGAGAGTAGCAAAATACAAAACAAACACACAGAGAGAAAGAAATAAAGAACAGAAAAAACAAAAATATCCCTTAAGGGGAAGAAGGGAGAAACAACGTTGTGGGTTTACGATGCGTGGACTCTGCACCTTGGCCATCCATCTTCATTTCCTTTTTGCTTGCCCTGCACATACAGTCTTATGCATCACACAAACTCCATCTAGAAAACATGAAATAATGGTGGAAATAAAAGCTCAGCATAACGCTGACATTAACACAAAGGAATGAAACAAACAAACAAACAGTAGTGTGCTTAACATCCAGTAGCATTCCCCACCCTGCTCCCCTACACAAGGTTATTGTAGGTAGTCAGAGAGTGACTCCTCTAACCCATTCAAAGTGGGTGTGTGAGAGAGCAAGAGAGAAATGCAGGTAAAGAAGAAAATAGGAAATCCACCCCAAAAGAAGAAGATCATTCAGTAATGAAACAAAATATTGTTAGTCACATTCCAAAAAATATACTCCCCAAACCTATCCAGCACTACAAAGGAGTCTTCTTGGTTACGTCGCACATGGAAATAGACACTGCACCCAACAACGCTCGAGTTCTCATCACTGTACGTATGCACATAAACATATAAATAAAAACACATATAGGTGTATATATACCCACATACAGAGAGAGAAGCTGATCTCCCATGTAAAGAATGCAATAACACAGTACATATATATATAAGGAAAATATCAAAATTAGAAGGTTACCAACTCAAAATTCTATTGTTTCAACATCCTGTTCTTGCGCAAACTGTACGACTCTTCCACCGCGACGCAGCTTGGTCGCTTCTTGAAGGGCAGCATCATCACCACCTTCCTCAATCTCCTGCCCCTTAGGGACCTCAACTTCCGAGAAGACATTCGATGATGTACGACCACGTTGTCTTTGACGTTTCGACGGCTTACGCATCAGTGACGTTTCCACATTGTTTTCTGCATGTGATTGGTATCTGGTATCAAAAGGTTGTTCCACAGGCATCCCATACATAGGCATAGCTTGATAAGTAGGCTGAGGCTGTTGCATGGTTTGGACAGTGTCTTCATAGTAGTCAAAGTTGTATGCAGAAGAATTATTGTTTCCTCGCTGCATATCACCATGACACTCTCGAATAGTCATAGTAGTAATGAAATAAGAATCATCATTATTCGCCCAGAAACAATAATTTCTAGTCCAGCAACAAGAAAGAACAATAAGAATTAGCCTTGCTGGAATCGTGCTGGAGGCACAAGCGTGTCGTATGCGCAAATTTCTCGAAGAGAGACTGGATGTACGGGATATGGGTAAACAGAAGCACGCAGT